ATAAATATATATGTATATACACACACGCACACAGGGAAAAGTAAACGAATCGAATTTGTCCACGAGTTTTTCGAGCGCGTCTCGATTTAAAGATTATTATGATTATTTGAGAGAAAATATATATATGTATATAAATTGTTACAGTTATAGTTTAYTGCTAGGGCCCGTAATGCATTGAACCAACTATTGCCACTGTATTTATATACATATATATATTTCTTGTTCGCTTGTTATTTCCAACGCACACACGATTGAACGGAAATTTGTACGCGTATTTTGACAAGCGCTCATACAAAATGTGCCGAGCATGAAGAAGAAGCACATACACATGAAGCAGCAGTAGCGCAGCAGCAGCAAAGAAATTCAGAAAAAAAGAGACACCGAGCGAGCAGTGAAATTCGTATGCCCGTGTGGAAATTAAGCACTCACTGATTGCACGTTCAGAGTATGCATTCTTGTTGATAACACATATTCATTTTGTTGTAATTTTTTTTCTTTTTCTTATACGGTGGCAAATATAGTTAGTTAAATTTGCAGAAAAAATTGTTGATCGTTATTCACGAAATTGATTATAAACGCGTTGAGCATGTTCCAACTGGGTCTTAAGCAACAGCGCGCTTGGTATAAGCGGCACGACACAGACACACACGCACACGGTCACACACCGTATTAGATGATTTTTGCACTTGACTTGGAAATGCTGGCCATTAAGCTGCATTTTGCTTATCGCTTCATTTGCTTTGCGTAGGCACTTACCTTAATTTTCGCACAATTTTCAAAACACTTTTACTAATTAAAGCACTTTTTTCAATGCGAAAATTTAACAAGCGAGTTGCGAGTTGTCGGTTTTGCAATCGGTGTTAGGGATGATACAACTGTATCGACCTATCGATTACGTCCAACAACAGTGCAGTCACCAAACTTTGTAAATTGAGTTAATCACTTTTGACATTCTCTGTGAATGTTCAAAATCCAAGAAATACCAGATTTGAACCATTCGTAATCAAAATACCAAGTACCTTGCCATGCTGCCAATTTGATGATTGTAAATGAAATCGTGAGCAAAAAATATTTTCGATGGATTTGTTTACAAATTTTATGCGTTTTAATTTTTAGTTAGAAAACTTTTGTTTTATGTCTACCGACTTGAAAGTTTTACGTGAAATGAAATGCTTTCATATATATTTGCCTGCCGACAACTTTACGGAATAAGCAAAGCCTACTAGTTCAATGAACATCTCATTTTAGCTCACGCACACGACACGAACACACAAACTCAAATGCGCACACATGTAAACAACACTGAACAACTTGCTATTTCACAAGGCGAGAGAATCGCGCGCGACTGTCAATATAATTGTAGTATGCTGGTATTTTTTATATTTTTTTTCTGTCATAAAATCCTAATCGAACATATGTAGTTGACAAATGGCTAAGCAGTGAACTAGCAGGCGCTGCAACAATAACAGACAAGCAACTAAATGTTGTAAGTTGCAAGGCTTGGAATTTTTTTGTTAGCTTTTTTTTTTGTTTTTGATCAAGTGGCAGTCTTCATTGAGATTCCGTCAGAAGAGCAACGTGCTAAACGAGTCTATTGCATTTTACCATCGACGGAATTAGTTTCACGCGCAAAAACAAAAAGTGCTGCAATAGACATTGCATATTCAGTGAATGTGCCTCAATTGTGGCAACGTAAACAGTAATCTTCAAGCATTTTGCCAGCAACTTGAAGCACGCAACAAGAAGGAACAAATATAATAATTTCCCACTGACAGTTTTGACAGTCCGGTCAGCAAAGCGGAAGGCAAGGTGAGTGCAGCAGAAAAAAAAGCTAAAAGAACGAGAGGAAAAACCAAGAAAATAATACGCACCAATTAAACAGAAAAAGTCAGTGTTACCGAAACGGAATAACAATAAAAGACTTGCGATTGCACATTTATTTATAACAGTACTTAGTAGCGGCAACTGCATTAACACCACCAAACAAACCACAAAACAAACAAACAAACAAATACTTTGGACAATGAGCGTGGACACGTATGCGCCGAGCTCGGCGCTCTCCTTCCTGGATATGGATGACAATGAGCTTTTGCGTGGCGCCGATACGCAGCCGACACAGTATGATTATCGTGACTTTACCATGCCGTCCACAACGCAGAGCCAGACCCAGGGCGATCAGCTGGATTTGCAGGTGAGCTGCCAGGCCACGTGTGTCTGTATGAGTGTGTGCGCGCGCGTGTCTGTGTGTGTGAAAGTGTATAAATATACATATGAAATGCTATGAAATTTGGTCATCATTTTGTAACTGTCAATTTCAGTCGCGCCGCGTAAGCGTGCAAAATAACGATATTCATTCACGATTGGCCTCTATCACCAACGATTTGGCCGACTTGCAATTCGAAGAGGAGGACGATGAGAACGGCGTCGGTGGCAATTCGGCATATGTCAAGGAGCTGCCGCCACATGCCTGTAAATATTGTGGCATTCACGATCCAGCCACCGTGGTCATGTGCAACAATTGCAAGAAGTGGTTCTGCAACGGTCGTGGCAGCACCTCTGGCTCGCACATTATTAATCATCTCGTGCGTGCCAAGCATCGTGAGGTGACCCTGCACGGCGACGGGCCACTGGGCGAGACCATACTGGAGTGCTATTCGTGCGGTGTACGCAATGTATTTGTCTTGGGCTTCATACCCGCCAAGGCGGATTCGGTGGTGGTGCTGCTGTGCCGTCAGCCGTGCGCCGCTCAGAACTCGCTGAAGGACATGAACTGGGATCAGGAGCAGTGGAAGCCACTCATAGCCGATCGCTGCTTTTTGCACTGGCTAGTGAAGCAGCCCAGCGAGCAGGGACAGCTGCGGGCACGTCAAATATCTGCAGCACAGATTAACAAGCTTGAGGAGCTTTGGAAAGACAATATTGAGGCAACATTTCAGGTGAGCGCCAAATGCACAATCATATGATTTTCTATCATATAGGCATCTCATCGGGTGTGATCTATCTTTGTCATATCATTTAAATTTCTCATTTGGGAATATGTATGCATGTGTCGCATAACAATTCTTTATATTGATTCCATAAAGATTATTACACCGATAAGTATCGATATAAATTAATTTGCTAATTCTATAATTTTTACTAGATGATTAGTTTATTTTTTCCTATTACAAAAATACCAATACCACCCGAATATGAATATGTTTAGCCTTGATTCATAACGTCTTGGTATTTTTTTTAATAATTTGCTAATGGCTAAGTATCGATATACTCTTCATGTCATTTTGTGCGTTTGCTTGGTTAATTTTTGGTATTTTACCCATTTGATATCGATATATACAATACAATACAATACGATATAATTGCAGGATTTGGAAAAGCCCGGCATTGACTCGGAGCCGGCTCATGTTCTGCTGCGCTATGAGGATGGCTATCAATACGAGAAAACCTTTGGGCCGTTGGTTCGTCTTGAAGCTGACTATGACAAGAAGTTGAAGGAGTCTGCTACACAGGAGAATATCGAGGTTCGCTGGGATGTGGGCTTGAACAAGAAGACCATCGCTTATTTTACGCTTGCCAAAACCGATTCGGACATGAAGCTCATGCATGGCGATGAGCTGCGTCTACGCTACGTGGGAGAGCTATATAATCCGTGGAGCGAGATTGGTCATGTCATTAAGGTGCCCGATAACTTTGGCGATGATGTCGGCTTGGAACTTAAGTGCTCCTCGAATGCCCCGGTCAAGTGCACCAGTAACTTTAGTGTGGACTTCATCTGGAAGTGCACATCATTCGATCGCATGACTCGGGCTCTACGCAACTTTGCCGTGGATCGCAATTCGGTGTCGAATTACATATACTCTCGCCTGCTGGGCCATGGACGCGCCGATGGCAGTGATGAGGTGCTATTTCGTGGGCCACAGCCCAAGCTGTACAGTGCTCCCCACTTGCCGGACCTCAATCGTTCACAGGTGTATGCCGTGAAGCACGCCTTGCAACGCCCACTCAGTCTTATCCAAGGACCGCCGGGTACGGGCAAAACGGTCACGTCGGCCACTATCGTCTATCAGCTGGTGAAGCAACACGGCGGCACAGTTCTTGTTTGCGCGCCCAGCAACACTGCTGTCGACCAACTGACTGAGAAGATCCATCGTACCAACCTGAAGGTGGTGCGCGTCTGTGCCAAGAGCCGTGAGGCCATCGACAGTCCGGTCAGCTTTCTAGCACTTCACAATCAAATCCGAAACATGGAAACCAATTCGGAACTGAAGAAGCTGCAGCAGCTCAAAGACGAAACCGGCGAGCTGAGCTCGGCCGATGAGAAACGCTATCGCAGCCTGAAACGTGGCGCCGAGAACCAGCTGCTCGAGGCGGCCGATGTCATCTGTTGCACCTGTGTGGGTGCCGGAGATATGCGCCTGTCGCGCATCAAATTCACATCGATACTGATTGACGAGTCCATGCAGTCGACGGAGCCGGAGTGCATGGTGCCCGTTGTGCTGGGCGCAAAGCAATTGATTCTAGTCGGCGATCACTGCCAGCTGGGCCCGGTGGTAATGTGCAAGAAGGCGGCACGCGCCGGCCTCTCCCAGAGTCTGTTCGAGCGCCTGGTGGTGCTGGGCATACGCCCGTTCCGCTTGGAAGTACAATATCGCATGCATCCGGAGCTGTCACAGTTTCCGTCCAACTTCTTCTATGAGGGCTCGCTGCAGAATGGTGTCTGTGCGGAGGATCGTCGCCTCAAACTGGACTTCCCATGGCCGCAACCGGAGCGTCCGATGTTCTTTTTAGTTACACAGGGCCAGGAGGAAATCGCTGGCTCGGGCACATCTTTTCTCAATCGCACCGAAGCGGCTAACGTGGAGAAAATCACAACACGCTTCCTCAAGGCGGGCATCAAGCCCGAGCAAATCGGAATCATTACGCCCTATGAGGGACAGCGTGCCTATTTGGTCCAGTATATGCAGTACCAGGGCAGCTTGCACTCGCGCCTTTACCAGGAGATTGAGATAGCCAGTGTGGATGCGTTCCAGGGTCGCGAGAAGGACATCATCATTATGTCCTGCGTGCGCTCGAATGAGCGCCAGGGCATTGGCTTCCTCAACGATCCACGACGCCTCAATGTGGCCTTAACGCGTGCCAAATACGGCATCATCATCGTGGGCAATCCCAAGGTGTTGGCCAAGCAGCAGCTTTGGAATCATTTGCTCAACTTCTACAAGGATCGCAAGGTGCTAGTCGAGGGCTCATTGAACAATCTGAAGGAGTCGCTCATCCACTTCCAGAAGCCCAAGAAGCTGGTGAACAACATGAACATCGGCGCCCATTTCATGTCCACCATGATGGCCGATGCCAAGGAGGTGCTGGTGCCCGGCTCCATATACGAGCGCACCAGCGGCTACGGCCGCCAGATGTCCGGCAACTCCAATCAGAATCTGAATGGCGGACATTATGCTGCCAATACGTATGGGTCTGTTGGCGGCGCAATTGGCGCCGCTGGTGCTGCCGGTGGCAACATGTCGAATGCCGCCTATGGCGCCGGCAACGGGTCCGCTGGCGGCAACAACAACTATGGCACTGCTGGTGGCGTCGGAGTCGGCGGCGGCTCTGGCAACGCATCCAATTGGCCAACTGCCCACTTGCATGACTCGATTGGGTACATATCGAATGATCACGGGGTTGCCGCCCTGGGCAACATGCCTGTGCCGGTGGGCATGTTCATGAACATGAGCAGCCTGCCACCGCGTTTCTACAACCACCATCAGCAGGCGATCATGGCGGCCAAGCAGAATCGCGCCATGCAGAACCAGTCCGGTTTTGCAGCTCCTCTAGTCACTGGCAAGAAGAACAGCAAATTGTCTAAAGGATCGCGCAACAGCAATGCAAACTCGATCCACTCTGGAGCTGGTGCTGGTGGAGGCGGTACAGCGACCTTAATGTCGACGACAACCACTATGACAACAACAACCACAGCAATCACGTCGGCCACATCATCGATGGGATCGACACCATTCAGTCAACAGCCGTCGGCTCTGTCGCTGCAGATGACACAGCCGAGCGGATTCGCCTTGTCACAGCAGCCGGAGCTGTCGCAGGACTTTGGCCAGATTTCGCAAATGGATGGACTGCTCTCACAGGATGTCTCCTTCAATGTGGTAAGTTCTTACATAATCAATCGCAAGCACAAACGATCAACCATCCAAGCAACGGTGCGCAAGATATTCTAGAGTCCCCAAATCAAGAGATTGCCGAATGAAATATATATTATATATATACCATGTGTCTATCATGTATAAATAATATAAATTAATTCACTAACAAGTTATTCTTGCCATTAAGCTCGATTCATAAAAAACATGTGTAAGTCTATAGATGAAATGCGATCGATTTACTTGATTGATTGTAGAATTTGATCAATCAGTTTCGATTCGTCATGCTCAATTTTAGCATAATCATAAAATAGATTCAGTCTAAGGAGTAACTGTATCTTAAACTTAATTCCATGCATTTTATTTTCTGATCAATCATAAGGCATATTTGATCAATCATTTTTGATTATGATTATTATAAATTACCCAGAGCTTAAATCGAGTAGACTATTATCGAGTCGGTATAAAAGTTCCAAGAGCTAACGAGTCCTTGACCTGAAGAGTTATATTTATATAATACTAAATTAATTTAGATTTGTGAAAATTTAATTCGAAACGTAAGTGTTTTGCTTAAGCTAAGCGAGTAATTCCATTCGATAAGATTTTAATGACTTTTGCCTCTGTCTCTCATTCTCTTCCTCTTCGTGCTATAGTCGGGCGAACGCAGTTTGAATCAATTCTCGCAACCTTACTGAGATGCTCGAGGAGGTGCGTACAATTGCAACAACAAATTACAACAACAAATACAACAAACTAAAACAACAAACAAATTGTAAGAACTTGAAGCCACTATGCGGCAGCAGCAGCAGCAGCAAACGCGGCGGCGGCGGCGGCTGCAGTGGCAGCGGCAGCGGCAGCAAGAGCGACAGCAGCGGCGGCGATGGCAGCAGCAACAGCAGCAGTTAGAAAGCGGCGAAAAAAAAGAACAAAACAAAAAAAAAAAGAGAAACACAACACAGAGACAGCGACTGGCGACAACAGCAGCAACAACAACTTGAATGCAAGCATCACAAAGTAAGACAGAGACGCAAATAAAGGCATCATGGAAACAGCAGCAGGGCAAAAAAGACTATGAAAGACTTAACTCGGCCACACAAAAGAGAACAGGCGCTAGCAAAGCAGCATAGAACAAGCGTGAGAGAGACAAGCATAGAGTGAAAGGCAGCAACAGTGACACATAGAGGCACACAAACACACATAAGCATACCTACAACAGGCATATGGCCTACAAATGTAGGTGGACAAACTTTTTGCATAAGCTGTCACCTCTCTCTCTCACTCTCTGTTACTTAACAGCTCAGCCATGCCGTCTGACCCTAGCTGGCAAGTCGGCGAAGGAATCGGCAGCCACACTGCACGATATGCGGGCTGCGCCTGCAGATGCAATCGTCGTTGTAGAAAGCAACGTCGCGGCGCCATGTTATTTTTTTTTTCTTAAAAAAAAAACAAAAACAAAAAAAAAAAAAAGAAAATTAAAARAAAAAAACTAAAAAATACCAAATGGAAAGATCTGAAATTAAATGAAGAAGTCCAATGCGCAGATTAAGGTCACAACAAGTTGCCTTTTACCGGACCACAAGGAGAGCAGAAAACGTGAAGGAATACAAAAAAAAAAAAGTCTTACACCTGATTTTTGTTTCTCTGTTTTGTTTTTTTTTTTTTTTTTTGTCTGGCCTTTGTCGACTTTTGGAACTTTCCATTGTTAAAATCAACCATTTTGCCACACTGTTGTTCATTTCCAGCACGTTTTTGTTAATTGTATGCGAGTGCCATTTGTTTCTGTTTTCCGAAAACCAAAAGCTAAAAAAAAAAAAAAGAAGCAATTTCGCAAACACACAGATACGAACACTTACACACACACACACACAAGCACACACACAAGCACACACACACACACACACACACACAAACACTTACACCCACACGCACTCTTACACGCATATGTATTTTCAAGCCTTTGTGATAACCTTGTGGCGCCCTCTAATGGCAGCGGCGACGATCAAACGAGATCTTTTCGATATTCAAATTGCTTGGAAATCTCTTTCTTATTGTTGTCGAAAACTCTTATTCAAACATTCAATTTTTTAATATTGTTTTATTCAAACAATTCTAGAATTTGTTATTTAAAAAATAGAAATATATATGTCTATATACAC